TTAACTTACTTGATAGATGTTGAGGAGGAAACTGGTCTTGCAAGGCATGTCAGGCCATAAAATCTTTGAACAATGCACTGCCCTGGGGCGGGGGAGGTGGTTATCACTGGCCCCAGGACAGATCATCAGATATGGCCTGGGGACCCCCAACACCTGGGGGCCTTCCTGTTAGCCCATGAAAGGGGGCAGAACCATATCTGCAAGACAAAGACCCCACAAGGTTATAAAAAGTGAAGCCCTCTGTGTGTTTCTTCACTCTGATTTGGAAATTATTCCTGGAGTCCACTAGTATTAATAAACAGGGTCCCTACCTTTCTCTAGGAAGCGTGCTTGGTATTTCTTTGGTCTTCTGTAACAATCTAAGAATGAAGGAAGCTGTTTTTCATAAGAGATAAAAACATAGGGCCCGATTTAGTTGCCAATTCTCTGAATATAAGAACATGCTAATTTCCATGCCTTCTAAGAACCACTTCAGAAATGACTTCCTATTTGACCCAGTGATCCTACTTCTAGACTATATCCCAAGAAGCTAGAAACACCAATCAGAAAGGATATATGCACCCCTATGTTCATAGCAGCACAATTCACCAAAGCTAAGATTTGGAAACAGCCTAAGTGCCCATCAGCAGATGAGTGGATTAAAAAACTGTGGTACATCTACACAATGGATGCTGCGGTAAAAAAGAAGGAATTCTTGCCATTTGCAACAGCATGGATGGAACTGGAGAGCATTATGCTAAGTGAAATAAGCCAGTCAGAGAAAGATAAATACCACATGATCTCACTCATTTGTAGAATATAGTGAACAACATAGACTGATGAACAGAGACAGATCCAGAGACAGAGAAGCAGTGATCAGATTGTCAAACCTCAGAGGGAAAGTAGGGAAGGGTGGGGGTTAGGGGGAGAGATCAACCAAAGGACTTGTATGCATGCATATAAGCCCAACCAATGGACACAGACAACAAGGGGATGAGAGCATGAGTGGGGGAGGGCTGGGGGTTAATGGGGGGATGAAGACACATATGTAATACCTTAATCAATAAAGAAATTAAAGATTGAAAAAAAAGAAAGAAATCACTTCCTGTGCCAGAAAGGGCAATTTTGAGAAACCTTGTACATCTAACACTTTGAACAGCAAGTCACAACATTCTCTGTGGGGTGATTTTCATTTGTGTGTTTTATTTGTGCCTGGTCAAGAAGTCTCATGCTAAGACACCCATAAACTGCCTAGTACCTTCAGAGGAATAAGACCGTAGAACAAAGATGCTCAGCAGTTGTCAGCAATGGGTCTCCAGATGGCTCTCATGGTGGATTTTCATGAGAAAAAACAGCTTTCATCCTTGTTTTATAGATTATGTGCAATAATAAAAGGAATAAAAATGGTATAGTGAGGGCTTTGAACCCAAGATGTTTGGGTCCATAGCTTGGCTCTAACATTTAGCCAGTTCTGTGACCTGGAGCCAGTTGCTGAACCTATCGTGAGTTATCATGAGTCTCAAATGTTAGCTATAGTCCTTTTTTGTTTGTTTGTTAATCCTCACCTGAGGATATTTTTTCATTGATTTTTAGGGAGAGTGGAAAAGAGAGGGAAAGACAGAAAGAAACACATCAATTGGTTGCCTCCTGCACAAGCCCTGACCAGGGCCCTGGCCAGGGAGGGGCCTGCAACCAAGGTATGTGCCCTTGACTGGAATCAAATCAGGGACCAAAGGGTCTATCGATGCTCTATCCACTGAGCCAAACTGTCTAGGGCACTATAGTCCTTTTGATCAGAAAGAAATATAACAAAATTGTAAATATGCTTTGTTTGGGGCATTGAACCATAAGTGATTTTTAATTTTTCTACTTGGGGTATTTTCTTAAATGTTCTTTAATAAGCAGTATCACTTTCAAATGAAAAGAAGAAAAAGAAAAGATATTTATCCAATGTTTCCATCTTGGAATCCACTTGGATTCTATTTTCCAATGTATAAAATTTGTTCTGGTAATAAATTATTTCTACCTTTATATCATAGGGTCCTATCAAAGTTTTAATAATAAAAGCCTAATATGCAAATTATCCCCTCGACCGGAAGTTTGACCAGGAGGCTGGGCCAGCCAGCCAACCACCCACAGCCCCTTCCCCTGGTTGGTCCGGCCCGATTGGCCCTGATCAGGGCGGGCCAGCCGGCCCCTACCTGTGCATGAATTCGTGCACTGGGCCTCTAGTAGAATTATATTTTGTTATTCATTAATAATAGGTAATATTATTACTAGTTTGTTATTATTTCTATCATTTATTTATCTACCTACCCATCCATACTAGAACTATGGTGCTAAGAGATGCAATGACAGATATACACTGTAGGCTTCTACCTCCATGAACTCAGTCCTGTAGGGAGTCAGGGAACATAAGAAAATAGACTTTTAAAACAGCGTGTAATAAAGTGCTGAAATAAAATAAGTGCTGTGAGAACATGTCAAGGGAAGGAGTTGGAGAAAATGAGAAAAGGCTTCCTCTGAAGTGATGCCAGGTTAAGCAGAGAAGGAAGAGTGGGACCAACATGAATGAGCCATTATTCCTGCCCTCCAAGGGACCACCCAACCCAATTTAAGATTGACTTGGTAAGTCCTAGGGAGTTCTGCACCTACAACTAGTTCTGATCTGTCCAAAATTCAGCTCATGTCCCAAACTTTCCAAAAAAAGCTTTCCCTAATTTCTCTAGTCTATAAAATTCATGCTTTTTCTCTTCATGCTACTGGGCCCTGTTACTCATTACATAATGAGTTTATTTTGTTATCTTAACTGGATTGTGGGATCTAGGAGGGTTGTATTATTTGGGGTTCTCCAGAAAAAAGAACCAACAGGAGATAAGAAATTTCCTATAAGAAATTGGCTCACACATTGATGGAGGCTGACAGGCTCCAAGATCTGCAGTCAGCAAAGCCGGGGGAGTTCCACTCTGAAGACAGGAGAAAACTGATGGGCCAGCTCAAGAAATCAGGCAGGCGTTCCCCCTTCCTCACAGGAGGGAAGCCTTTTTGTTCTAGTTAGGCCTTCAAGTGATTGGACAAGACTCACCCACATTAGAGAGGGCAATCTGCTTTACTCAGTCTACCATGTCACATGTTAATCTCATCTAAAAACACCCTCTCAGACACACCAGAATAAAGTTTGACCAAATATCTGGGAACTCCATAGCCGAGCATAAAATTAGCATAACAGGGTCTACCAGTGTTTCCCATCTCTTAAGTAGCATGACCTTACATGCCACGGGCTTAATGTTTAGTCCCCGCTTCCTCCCCCTGGACATGTAAGGCCTAAGGTCAGTCATGGTATCAGAGAACCTGGTAACATTCACGGTTTGAGGCAGTCTCAGCTCTTAGGCTGCAGTGCATGGAGCCATGGGCCAATCTGAGAAGCAGTATCTTGGGCAAGAAATGATGCTCTGAATTACAGAGTCAGACTCACAATCCAAAAAAGTCATCAATGCAGAGATAAAGAATGTGGCTTCAAGTCCAGGGGAGCCCTGGCCAGTGTCTCTGTTGATTGGAGTGTTGTCGCATGCACCAAAAAGGGTTGCAGGTTCAATTCCCAGTCAGGTTCAATCCCCAGTCAGGGTGCATATAGGAGGCAACCTATCGAAGTTTCTCTTTCACATCGATGAGTTTTCTCTCTCTCTCTCTCTCTCTCTCTCTCTCTCTCTCTCTCTCTCTCTCTCTCCTCTTTCTCTTTCTCTTCCTCTTCCTCTTCCTCTTTCTCTTTCTCTTTCTCTTTCTCTTTCTCTTTCTCTTTCTCTTTCTCTCTCTTAAAAAAAAATCTAGGGGAGAGGGAGATAATTCAAAGCAAAAAGTAGGAAGTGGAGCCAGAAAAAATTCCCAGATTTGGGGAGTGTATGAGATGTTTTCACTCTTGCTGGAGTTGGGTAGGGGCTTTTAGAGTCACCAGCCTGAACCTGATGTCTTCCTACTTTTGGACCACCCTCTATGGTACCATGTCATCTACAAAAACTGACAATTTTTACATCTTTCTTTCTAATTTGTATTTCCTCACAGCTATATTTCAAGTTTACTTGAAACTGAATTGATTTTACCTTGAAAGTCAATTTTTAATAGAAATTGGAGGTCATGAATATAGCCCTCAGCAGTCTTTCTTACCTTCCTCCACTATTCTTTCAAGTATGTCTTATTGCTTGGCTTACTGTATGTATATATATATATCTGATTGCTATGGCTAGGACTTTGAGTATTATGCTGAATAAAAGTGGTGAAAGTGGAAATAATTGTCCTCTTCCTAACCTTAAAGAAAAAACTTTCAGCTTTTCACCATTGAGTATGCTGATAGCTGTGAGTTTGTCATATATGGCCTTTATTATGTTGAGGTATGTTCCCTTATCCCCACTTTGCTGAGGGTATTTTATTATAAACGGATTTTTTTCAAATGCTTTTTCTGCATGTATTGATATAATTTTTACTCTTCATTTTGTTTATGTATTGTATCATGTTAATTGACTTGTAAATATTGAACCAGCCTTGCATCTTGAAAATAAATCCCACTTGATCAAGTCAGATACAGCTGCAGGTGACTGAAGCTTGTTTCTGCTGGGGAAATGGGGTGCCCGTATAAAACAAACACTTGAGATGGATTCCTGCTGAGGTGTTAGGTTGCTGGGCATTTATCCATCTCCTCTCGATCAGTCATGGGCTGAAGGTTGCTCCCAGAGGCCATCATCTCTTGACATTTTTGGTCTACTCAGCAAGAGGTAAAGGATTCCTGAGGCAAGAGAAAGGATTCCTCAGCCTGCAAAATGCAGATCTGGCCGTTCAAAGTCTTGGTCTTATAAAGTAGTAAAGGCTGAAGGCTGTGAGGGTAGAGCAGTCACCTATACTTGATAAGCCTAACCAGTGGGATGGTTTCCAATGGGGCTGTTTTTCCTGTGCATGATGGCTATTTTGCCACAGTTAAAATAATCAAAAGAACAGAACCGAGACAGGTACAATTTTAATGCTTCTGCAGTTGTATTTTAGAACAGAATGAGATGACTAACAGATACCAAGTTTCATGGCTTCTGTGTTTCAGAATATTCAGTTGAAGTCTGCATCTTGAATTCTTTTGTAAATTGACAAACATTTACATGATGCAGAATGAAACAATGAAATATTAAGAGGTAATGATAAGTAACGCAAAGAACAGAGGCCTAGTAAGCATAAATTTTCACTTTGTGGACTTCCTTGTCCTCACATTCCCTCTGTTTGTTGTAGTAATAGAAAGTATTGTCCCTTCTCTGAAGTTTCTTCACATATCCTGTCTCTGGCCAACGATCTACCTACACATCAAAAACCAGAATACAAACATTGTCATGCCGGTTTTATTTTACATAATATTTTACTACCAAATAGTTAAAAGTATAACTCGCATAAAAAGTTAAAGTATAGAATTGTTTTAAAATACTTGACCTCTTATGACAGTGTTACACCCACCCCAAAACACATCTTAAGTCATATCCTTTTACAGCAAAAGAACTAATTTGGTGCTCTCTAGATTCCAATTTCTAGATTTAAATTTCTACTCACTTGCCAAGATAGAAAAAACATTTTAAATCCTCTAAACTTTATTCATATGTTTAAAAATGATTTCAAACATTATTACTTCTTAATTTCTAAAAGTAATACCCCAGGAGGGACTAGGGCTACGCCCAGACCCCATTCTGAAAGCACCTAGAGCTGACTGTTGATGGTGCAAGAGTGACTAAAGGAAGCAGCTAGACTTCATGTATTTAAAGGGCCGTGTGTATTTCCTCACAGCTATATTTCAAGTTTACTTGAAACTGAATTGATTTTACCTTGAAAGTCAATTTTTAATAGAAATTGGAGGTCATGAATATAGCCCTCAGCAGTCTTTCTTACCTTCCTCCACTATTCTTTCAAGTATGTCTTATTGCTTGGCTTACTGTATGGTCTGGCCCGATCCAGTTTGGACATTTTTCTCCCATTCATGCAAATTCATGTTATGCCCCCCTTAATCAGGTCGGTGTGTTTCTGTGTGTGTTAGGTATGTTTGTTTTTTCTGGATTTTGGGAGATGTGCTCTCATTGCCAAAAGTCTGTTATTCAGGTTTCATGGTCTAGAAAACAAAACCCTGTCCTTCAACACCATCTGTACAGGCAGCTTCACTTCCCATAGTCCCCTCTTATAAATCATCATTTCAATGGGAACATGAATATAAAGGAATACACATTGTTTACGTTTAACAGTGCATTTTCATTTTCTTCTGCTGTCTCATTTATTTGTCAAGTAGCAAAAATAGGAGGCAGCATATCTGAAAAACCTCAGCAGGCTCTCTGACATATACACTATAGAAAAAAAATCATAAATTCTATCACTTAGGTCAGGCCTGTCTTTTGTATCTTCTATTGCGCTCAGCAGTGAAAGGAAGGTGTTCTCAAGTCACCACGTACAGCCCTCTTCCTCACGGGACCAGTAGCAGGTTTTGTTCATTTACTAGGGTCTTGAACATCATCTCATGTAGTGAAGAAACAGTATGTACAACTGCTGCTTCCACAGAACATCCAAAACTACTTCCTATGGAACAAAAGGCCTCCAAACAGCAATATTGGTTCTGCACTTATCAACATCTTTGCTATTTCATCATTTTTTCTTCTTAGCTTTTTACTTAATCACTCCCATTCAATCTAGGAAATCTTCATCCTGAAAGTATATGGAGCAGAGAGATAAGGTCCTCAAGCCCTACTCCCCTCAGCCAGGGCTGGGAGAGCAATAGCACTAATACTGCCCATAAGGTGAGCGCCTCAGGTCAGGACAAGGAACTTCACTCATACCCTTTAGACCGCTGGTACATGCCAATCCAAGCAAGCCTTCAGTCACTACTTAGAGGCATCCTCTAAGGCCCACAGCAAATGCCTCTGGGGACATGAACCCTTTTGGGAAGAAAGTCCCCAAAGGAAGTGATATTTACCATCCTCTGGATTCCTGTGCTGCTTCTTTTAAGGCATACAGGGCGTCCCAAGAAAATGTATACACACTTTAACAGCTGACAGCTCAGTTTTAAAAATGAAATGTATTTAATAAACACTGCCTTTGTAATTATTTGAAGTGTGTGTATACATTTTTTGGAATACCCTATATATTTTGACATATAAGGTTTTATTGTTTTTGTCATTCTCAATCTTCAAGATATAAGAGTAATAAATGTTATCATTCATTAAACACTATTCATTCACTCAACAAATTATCACTGAGCACTGCAATGTCAGGCACTTTAAACACATGCCTTCATTTCATTCCTGTGACAATTTCCTGTTGGAGGCACTGCCATCACAATCTTGCAGTTGAGCTCAGTGAAGTTAAAAGCCTTGTGCGGGATTACCCAGCTAGTGAGGGGGAGGGCCAGGCTGCAACCCTTGAACAATCAATTGCAAATCCTGTACTCTTCCCACTGGCCACCAAATTTGAGGTCAGGCAAGGCAAGTGCTTGTATTTTTTATTCCCTAAAGCACTTGGCACAGAAATGTGCACATGGTAGGTACCCAATAAACATACTGCTGAAGTGAAATGCAAACTCTCCATATCTGTAAAGTCATACAGTGAATAGGGTTGTTCTTTCCTTTATAACACACACACACACACACACACACACACACACACACACACACACACAAAAACCTTCTCAGGTGCTTCTGGGGACTTCTACTTTAAGGATGTTCTTATTGTCCTCTTAAATCTAATTTTACCTCAATTACAACAGTATTGTGTGTGTATGTGGTGGGGGTGGGGGTGGGGTTTAGGTGCAGCTATGCCTACATGATCACATCATCTCTATGATCCTGGGTCCTTTATACCTTTTAGGGGCATCCCAATCTTAAGGCAAGGTATGAAGCTTGTTTTTGAATAGCATTAAAATAGTCATGCTTGTGTTTTATCTGTCTAAAATCCATAGATAATACAGTAATGAAGAATACCTTTTGGCCGAACTGGTTTGGCTCAGTGGATAGAGCGTTGGCCTGCGGACTCAAGGGTCCCAGGTTCGATTCCAGTCAAGGGCATGTACCTTGGTTGTGGGCACATCCCCACTGGGGGGCATGCAGGAGGCAGCTGATCGATCTCTCTCATCGATGTTTCTAACTCTCTATCCCTCTCCCTTCTCTGTAAAAAAAATCAATAAAATATATTAAAAAGAAAAAAAGAATACCTTTTGGTAAGAGATGTCAGAATATTGATACAGTTAGCCTTTTGTATCTGTGGGTTTTGGATCTGCAGTTTCAACTAATCGCTCATTGAAAATGTTGGAAAAAATGATCTCAGAAAGTTCCCAAAAGCAAAACTTGAATTTGCCATATGCCAGGCACTACACTGAATCCACACAAATGAAGTGATGTATAGGTATATCCTGCTGTAGCCTATCTGAAAATATAGATAATATGCAAATACTATTTCATCCTATATAATAAAAGCCCAGCAACCGAATGGTGAAATGACCAGAACAACCAGTTGACCAGTCACTATGACACGTACTGACCACCAGGGGGCAGATGCTCAACACAGGAGCTTCCCCCTGGTGGTCAGTGTGCTCCCACAGTGGGAGCACCGCTGGGCTGACTGGGATGAGCAGCGCTCCCACAGTGGGCTGATCCCCGCAGGCCATGCCCCTCACCAGTGCATGAATCTCATGCACCAGGCCTCTAGTTTTATATAAGGGACTTGAGGGATCCTGAAACCAATCCCCTGGGACACTGAGGGATGACTGTATATGAAAATCACAGTCATCAAATATTAATTTGATCAGTGTTTATAACTTCATTCCTCACCAGCCCTACTATCTGTCAAATTAATATGCATCAAATTAAAGGGTCTAGCATATGTTAGCTCTGTAATGCCTCCAATTTCTTTTCCTATCTACTTTTAAAGGAAGTATTAAGCAAAGATCAAAGGAAAAAGAAAATATAGAGAGCTGAAAAATACACATGTGAATTAGTCTCTAAACAATGGAGAGTTAATACTAAAAAAAAAAAAAAAAAAAAAAAAAAAATTGAATAAATACTTTGTTGTAACCCGAAATCTGAGCATTAAAATACATTTATGGCCCTGATCAGTTTGGCTCAGTGGATAGAGTGTCGGCCTGGGGACTGAAGGGTCCCGGGTTCGATTCCAGTCAAGGGCATGTACCTTGGTTGCGGGCACATCCCCAGTAGGGGGTGTGCAGGAGGCAATTAATCGATGTTTCTCTCTCATCAATGTTTCTGACTCTCTATCCTTCTCCCTTCCTCTCTGTAAAAAATCAATAAAATATATTTAAAACAGATGTATGAATACTATATATCATATTCTTAAAAACTCTTGTCTCTTAGTATCTGGTAGAAAGAATGAATTTTTTAAAACCCCATTATAAACTGGTGCCGTGTCTAGATTTTAATCTAGTCTATGAAAAGCAAAGTCAAGAGAACCTAGAAAGGACTACCAAAGTCAGGACTTGTTCTCTAATGGTTTTTTGTCACATGTAATCCCCATAATAAACAGAATTTAACCCCTTTACAATTCGTGGTCAAAATTAAAATGAAACTGGCATTTAGCAGAGTTTAGTTGTTCAATAAAAGCTAGAAATTTCTTAATATTTCCATGCTGAGGGACCACCCCCTTCCTCATTCTGCCTAAAAATCACTTTTTTGGGCCTTAGTCTACTCTTCAATAAAATGAGAGAGCTGGATAAGAATTTCCTTTCAGTTTTCCTCTAGTTCTTTGTTTTATTTTAAAACTTTCACCATTGAACAAACTCATTTTGAGCTCAGATTTATAGAGGAATAAAACTTACCACAGAAACTTGTTTTACTTGTTTATATTCAATTTCATCCCGATATCCTGCTTGTTGAAATCTGTACAGATTTTCAATCTCTTCTGACCATTTTTTGGCACGAATTATTGACTTGGGTTTCATGTCAGAACTAGCCATGGCTACAGAGATCTTATTGCCAATTAATTCTGAAAGATGTTAAAACAAAATTAATAGATGACATAATAGTGACAATTTGAAAGTCCCTTTAAAAATGAACAAAATTAGCATATAAAAATAATTAAGAGTCCAGAATCCCACAGACAACAGTATGGTGATTGCCAGAACTGGAAGAGGAGTGGGGGAAGGTAGGGAGATAAAAGGTAATGGAAGAAGACTTGACTTTGGGTGGTGGATTCATTATGCAATATACAGATAATGTATTATAGAATTGTACACTTGAAACCTGTATAATTTATTAACCAATGTCACCCCAATAAAATCAATAAAAGTTAAAATACATATATTAAAATGTAATCATTCAATTCCAAGATTGAGAAGGATTCATGCTCTATTTTAGAAATAAAATAAGTCCTGAAAGATACATAGATAACTTTTTATTTCTTCATCAAATAAAATTGCATTCACACTCATGGAGTGATATCGTAAAGGCTGGATACTAATTCTGTTGTTCCAGGCAATAGTTTACAAATCTTTGAAATCACACATTTTTTTACTGCTCAGTAGAACGTCATAATATCCCACCACCTGTGCTCACTTCAGTAGCACATATACTAAAATTGAAACAATGCAGAGAAGATTAGCATGGCCCCTCACAAGATGACATGCAAATTCATGAAGCAAGTGTTGCTCCATAGAGGTGTTGCCTGCAGAACAGCTCTTCCACTATAGTCACAGCTGGTCCTCGCAGCCAATTGGCCTGGAGATCAATTTCTCCCAGTGATACCAAAAGCAATCAAGGCTCTACTACAAAAAGACTGGGCACAGAGCCCACACAGTGGCGCACCAAGAGTGCCCATCTCAGGTGACTGGGGAGGCTGAGCCACTGGCCCTACAGGACACCTAATACAGAAGGCCACTCTACCAATTTCAGGAGACATAACAGCTCTACCTAATACATAGAATTAAACACAGGGAAGCAGCCAAAATGGGAAGACAAAGAAACATGTCACAAATGAAACAAATGGAAGTAAGCAAACTACTGAATACAGAGTTCAAAACAATGGTTATAAGGTTGCTCAAGGATCTTAATGAGTTTCAAGGGTCTTAATGAGAGCTTTAAGAGACTTAATGAGACTTTCAAGGATCTTAGTGAGAATGTCAAAGAAATGAAGAAGGACAAGTCAGAAATTAAGCATACACTAACTGAAATAAAGAATAATTTACAGGGATTAAACACTAGAGGATTCCAAGAATAATATCAGTGATTTGGAATATGAGGAAGCAAAAAACGTCCAATCAGAAGAGCAAAAAGAAAAAATAATCCAAAAATGTGAACACAATGTAAGAAGACTCTGGGACAACTTCAAGCATACCAACATTAGAAGTATGGGGTGCCAGAAGGAGAAGAGAAAGAGCACGATATTGAAAACCTATTTGAAGAAATAATGACAGAAAACTTCCTCTACTTGTGAAAGAAATAGGCTTACACCTCCAGGAAACACAGAGCCAGAGAGTCCCAAACAAGGGGAACCCAAAGAGGCCCACACCAAAACACATCATAATTAAAATGCCAAAGGTTAAAGATGAAGAGAGAATCTTAAAAGCTGCAAGAGAAAAGCAGTTAGTGAGAGAAACTAAGATGGCGGCATAGGTAAACACCGAAATTGCTACCTCCCACAACAACTTCAAAAATACAACAAAAAGACAAAACGGACATCATCCAGAACTACAGGAAGGCTGGCTGAGTGGAAATTCTACAACTAGAAGGAAAGGGAAAAACACACTGAGCCAGAGGAGCTGCGGAAGTAAAGTGCAGAGGTACAGAGGCTCGCGCGCATGGAAAGGGGCTGGCACCTGAGGATGCGGCTGTCTTTTTGAATCAGGAGGGAGTCACAAGCTCCCGACTGCTCGGAACTCCGGTTCCAGGAAGTGTCTGGGGACCCAGGACTCATACGGGGAGAAACTGGACTGTCTGGCAGCAGGCAGAACTCTGAGCTTTCCCTCAGAGGTGCTTGCAGCAATTAAATTACTGGGACACTGAGACACGCGACCCCTTAGGGAAGGGCTGAGGACCAGCCATAGCTGCTTGCTCCACCCTTTGATTCCCTGAGACCCCGCCCCACCCAGACTGCGACAGAGGCTTTTGCATATGAATGCCCTGGCCCTTTGCAACCTGAAAATCACCTAACAAACGGCAGCTGGGCCAGACAGACTCAGAACTTCCAAGAGAAGGCCCAAGGCCCCACAGCAGCTTGCATTGCTTCACAGCTGGGCCTCATCAGGGCACCTCCAAACTCCAAAAAAGGAAGGGGAATCTGCAGTTCTCTTCGTAGCTTCTGCTGTGTAACCTCAGGCAGAGGCTAAATTAGCACCTCCTTAGATCCAAGAGCCAGTGTACCCAGTGGTCAGAGGGGGACCATCCAGATTACAACTCCTCAGATCCATAAGGGACACACTCAGGGAGCAGACTCAGTGAGCACCATAGCCCCACTGAAGCAAGTCTTGCCCCAGAGGGTGTCTTCAGCACAGAAGTTCTCCCAATGCAGACACAGCTGATTCTCACTGCCAATTGGCCTGAAGGTCAATTCCTCCCAGTGATCTGACAACAATCAAGGCATAACTACAGCAAGACTGTGCACAAAGCCCACAAGGGGGTACACCAAGAGTGTCCACCTCAGGTCACTGGGGAGGCTGAGCCACTGGGCCCTACAGGACATCTAGCACACAAAACCACTCTACCAACACAGGGAAGCACAAAAAATGGGGAGACAAAGAAACAGGTCACAAATGACAGAAGTGGAGGAAAGCAAACGACTGGATATAGAGTTCAAGGCCACGTTTATAAGGTTTTTCAAGAATTTTATGGAAACCGCTGATAAATTTAGTGAGACCCTGGAGGATATGAAAAAAGACCAACTAGAAATTAAGCATACACTGACTGAAATAAAGAATAATATACAGAGATCCAACAGCAGACAAGAGGATCCCAAGAATCAAGTCAAAGATTTGAAATACGAAAAAACAAAAAATACCCAACCGAAAAAGAAAAAAGAAAAAAGATTCCAAAAATATGAAGATAGTGTAAGGAGCCTCTGGGACAACTTCAAACATACCAACATCAGAATTATAGGGGTACCAGAAGAACAGAGAGGGCAAGATATTGAAAACCTATTTGAAGAAATAATGACAGAAAACTTCCCCTACCTGGTCAAAGAATTAGACTTACAAGTCCAGGAAGCGCAGAGAACCCCAAACAAAAGGAACCCAAAGAGGACCACACCAAGACACATCATAATTAAAATGCCAAGAGCAAAAGATAAAGAGAGAATCTTAAAAGCAGCAAGAGAAAAACAATCAGTTACCTACAAGGGAGTACCCATACGACTGTCAGCTGATTTCTCAACAGAAACCATGCAAGCCAGAAGAGAGTGGCAAGAAATATTCAAAGTGATGAATGCCAAGAACCTACAACCAAGATTACTTTATCCAGCAAAGCTATCATTCAGAATAGAAGGTCAGATAAAGAGCTTCACAGATAAGAAAAAGCTAAAGGAGTTCATCACCACCAAACCAGCATTATATGAAATGCTGAAAGGTATTCTTTAAGAAGAGGAAGAAGAAAAAAGAACTCTTACCATTTGCCACAGTATGGAACTGGAGAGTGGATAAATACCACATGATCTCACTCATTTGTGGAATATAATGAACAACATAAACTGATGAACAAGGACTGATTCAGAGACAGGGAGGCATTGATTGGACTGTTGGGCCTTGGAGGGAAGTTAGGGGAGGGTGGGGGTAAGGGGGAAAGATCAACCAAAGGACTTATATGAAAGCATATAGGCCTAACCAATGGACACGGACAACGGGGAGGTGAGGGCATGAGCGGGGGGGTGGGGGATAGGGGGTAACGTGGGGATAAGGACACATATGTAATATCTTAATCAATAAAAAATATATTAAAAAAAGAATTATTTGCCCCCCCCCCCAAAAAAAAGAAAAGCAGTTAGTTACCTACAAGGGTGTGCCCATATGACTCTCCGCTAATTTCACAACAGAAACTTTGCAGGCCAGAAGGGATTGGCAAGAAATATTCAAAGTGATGAATAGGAAGGACCTACAACCAAGATTACTCTACCCAGCAAAGTTATCATTTAGAATTGAAGGACAGATAAAGAGCTTCCCAGATAAGAAAAAGCTAAAGGAGTTCATCACCGTCAAACCAGTATTATATGAAATGCTGAAGGGTATTCTTTAAGAAGAGGAAGAGGAAGAAGAAGAAGAAGAAGAAGAAGAAGGAGGAGGAGGAGGAGGAGGAGGAGGAGGAGGAGGAGAAATATGAACAATAAAATGGCAATAAATACATATCTATCAACAATTGAATCTAAAACTCAAAATAAGCAAACCAGAAATCTAATGAACAAAATAAACTGAGAAATAAAACAGAGCCAGAGGCATGGAAATATGGAACAGACTGACAAGTCTCAGAGGGAAGGGGTGACAGGGGGTGAAACGAGATTAACCAAAGATCTTATATGCATATATGTTTTACCTATGGACACAGACAACAGGGTGGTAAGGGTTTGGGGTGGGGCAGGAACCAGTGAAGGGGGGGAGGGGATCTATGGGGAAAAAAAGGGAGGCATCTAATATTCTCAACAATAAAGATTAATTTTTTTACTTCATTAAAAGGAGTCTTATAGTAAATGTTTTAACATGTGTAATAAATGTAGCTTTATCTGGATTTAATGGGGAGAGGGGAATAGGAAATGGAAATAAAATTGACAGAATTGCTAAGTTTCAGATAAATGTTTCTTTGATATAAAAGATGGAGCCTAAAATTCCCTCAGTCCTATATAATAAAAGGGTAATATGCAAATTGACCCTAACAGCAGAAACAACTGGGAATGACTAGTCACTATAACACACACTGACCACCAGGGGGCAGACACTCAATGCAGGAGCTGCCCCTTGGTGGTCAGTGCGCTGCTCAGCCACAAGCCAGGCTGACGGCTGCCAG